TTTTTCATTTGTGATAATATTTTATAACACTTGACATGTGCAGTGTTAATATAACAGGTAGATGCCTTTCATATAGATACAAGCATTCCTTAAAGTAAATAATCTAAAAAATAAATCTTTTTTACGAATTTTTTATTGTCTTTCGCTTCTTATCCCTTCCAACAATGCGGCCGAACAGTCTTAATATAAAACTCTATGGAACCCTCCTCTCTAGTTTCGAAAAGTGATATGCCGGTATTTATATATCGTATATGCTCAAACGAAACAACCAGAGTATATTATTACAAACGTTATATCTCATAGCTGACGAGTGGGACCCGAACCCCAGCACTTTATCTTAGTTAAGGCGAAATCTTATATGATGGTGCCCTGTTATTGTGGCAGTGAGTGGAAGAATAATGTGTAGAGGAAAGGAGGCCTTTGTATTTCGAGATTTTATACTGTTATTTGGTGATATTATATTGCATTTGCATGATTGAAGGCCGTTAATTAACGTCCACAGGTATACAGACAAAGACACAAGTATACAGAGTAAGCCTTGATATGGACAACGTTTCTCTCAAAGCAGTTTTTTCATGAATCGAAAAAGCTCTACTTAGAGCGTAGCATTACCCTAAAAAAACATGATCTGCATTCTTTTGCTTATGAACATTCCTGTTACATGTTAGGTTAATTTTGACTAGTGATGCCTCTTGAACTCAATGAACTGACAAGGTTGTTTCTTTTCTCTTACTTCAGGCTTCCACATGACGCCCAAACTGTCGAATGTGTTCCCGGAGTCTTGCATGTTAATCGTGTTGGGCGTGTTGATAGGATTGCTGCTCTTTTACACGCAGGCCGCTTCTGTATCCCCGCTCACAGCTGACGTCTTCTTCCTGTACATGTTGCCACCCATCATCCTCGACGCTGGCTACTTCATGCCAAATCGTCTTTTCTTTGACCACCTGGGCACCATACTCGTTTTCGCCGTCCTGGGCACCATCTGGAACGCCTTGACCATCGGTAAGATTATTATTATATGCAAGGGCAGCACTAAGCCAATATGGGGGTATACAGCACTTGGGAAATAGGTACTTTCATTCAAGGAAAGGAATGTTAGTTCTAATTCCTTGAATCAAGAGCTTTTCAGCAGAACCAAGGCATTTCCCCTTGGAAGGCGCCATTATTGAGTGATGTTCTTCCTTTCTCCCACATATTCCTATCTTGACCATCGATGGAAAGGAAATTATGAGAGTCTTCTAAATGTCTTATTTATAATTGTTAGCGTTCTTAATGTCATTTGAATATTATACTCTGTTAATGAATGGTTGGTAAGTAATTCGAACCTTGGTTTTCTGTGAGGAGGATGACATAGATGATATAAATCTTAAACCATGTGAATAAGTGAAATAAGAAACATGCACAGTATTAAGATAAATTAGACACATATGCAACACTTGGGTATCTTTATTGAGGAAACGTTCCGCCACGCAGTGGCTTCATCAGTCCTAAATAAAGAAGAACGGTGAAGATCAGGAGGAGTTTGAGGTAATCAGTCCCTCACTCTGAAGTCTCTTACCCTGCTGGTTGAGAAAGCTGAACTCAGCTTCAGACTTGCTACTGACCTGCAGTGTTTGAGTAGGCTGAGCTGTAGTTACTTGGCCTCTTACTTGTTTGAGCTCAAGCTTTTATATCTGCTACTAATCTAACATTGAGAGGGTTTACCTCCAGCTTCTAGCCTTGATAAGATGCCTGACGATTTTCACAAGCACTTTTTCATATATTATTTTAAACTCTTTGCAGTTTCTCTAGCTTCATAGATATGTCTGGGACACTGAAATATTGTGTTTTAACTTGTGGGTGTGTTCATACAGGTATTTCCTTGTACGTGGTGGGCCTGGCGGGTATATTTAGCACGAATATCCCCATTCTGCACATGCTTCTCTTCTCGTCTCTCATCTCGGCCGTGGACCCCGTGGCTGTGCTCGCTGTCTTTGAAGAGATTCACGTCGAGGAGGTGCTCTACATCTTGGTCTTCGGAGAGTCGCTACTCAACGATGGTGTCACTGTGGTGAGGTGTACCGCTCATAATGTTCAAGTCCACTGACTCCATCTTTATACTTTTCTTTTTTACTTGTGTCTCTATCTTTTATTTATTATTATTTTTCCAACAGGTCGGTTTATGGGCTGAGAACCGTTATTCTGTCAGCTCATTTCAAAACCTCGCCCTATTTAAAGTATACTGCTACCTCTTTCAGTAGGAAGAGACTCACAAGAGTTGACCATTACCCAAGTACTGTGTACCTATTTACTGCTAGGTAAACAAGGGCAGCAGGTGTAAGGACACTTGCCCATACGTCTTGGCTCGCCGACAACTACCATTGAGTTAAAAAACATCGAACGAGGTTGAAAACTGAGGAATGATTAGACTCATTGGGAAATAATTATAAATGTCTTAAAGCAATTATTATTCATATCAAGAGTGGTAATATATATGACAAAAATAGTTTAGATTTTTCAC